GGGGGGGGGAGAAGGGTTGAGATCTTAAACATGATTTATGGTAGACTCTGCGATTCCTTTTCTCAGGCTTTTAACAGACGGGGGCTGTACAATGGAACATGTTGAAAGGCCAGATCGGACGTGTCCTCTCCCCCCCCCCCTCACACCCGGCTTCCCCCCGCCACCCTTGTAAGGGGTGGGGTGCGGAGAAAGAGGAGCCTTGGGTGGTGGTTGAAAGCCCAGACAGGGCTCTGTCCCTTTAAGGTCACTGCATGCTCTGGTATGATGATGTTTAGAAGGACAGCTGGGCAATGGCCATCTGACTGACTTCGGCTTGACATCTGGGAGCCCACTGGTGTGTGGCACGCGAATCGCTTGATGTCGCTATTTAAATGCAAATTTGTGGGGGGATCGTTGAAGCCTCACCCCGTAAATTCACACAAAAGGAACACTTCACACACTCCGAGGAGGAGGAGGAGGAGGGTCGTTACTTCGGGAGGTCTTGGCTGCAACATGCAAATCTCATTCAAATCCGCAGCACATTCTGCATGACTAACTTTGCTAAGGTCAAGACTTTTGGGGGGGGTGTGGAGGAGGAGGAGAAGGAGGAGGGGACGGCTGCCTGCCTGGCTGTGGCCGGGCTACCAACTCAGCTGAGTCTTGGTCAGTTCCTGGGCTCTCTCATTTAAGGGCGAGCACCTCCCCACTGCTTAGGTTGTGACCAGGCCTGCCTGGTCCCCCCCGAGGTTGCAAACATTTCAAAAGGAACGTTTCACCATCCGCAGCAGAAGGGCGCATCGTCTGCTTCCCCCTGGTGCTTTGTGTCCCGGTGAACTTCACCTTCTTTGGCAGGACAGCGCTTCGCCGGGGGCTCGCAGCCAGCCTCGCCCCGGCCACCTCCCTCCCTGCCGCCACCTCCTCCCCTTATATTTGGGATAAGAGAAGCCCCCGTTTTATGAGGGAAACACTGATTTCCCCCAAGTATTATGCGGACGCTCTTACAAACAACTCTCCGCCTCTTGCTTAAGCAGGTTCTCTCTCTTTTCCTCCCCTCCTTGGACAAGAGGAATCGCCCCGTCCTTTTGCTCTCTACCCCCGGGATGGGGTGGGGTGGGGGGCAAAGGCGGGGTGTTTGTTCCCTGCCCCTCGACAGGGTAGAAAAGTTGAGCTTGAGGTGCTCGAAAGCAAGCAGACAAAAACAGGAGCCCGATGTACACACACACACAAACACACACACTTAGGATCCAAACCCAGGAAGTAATTTCCCCCCTTCCCTTTCCATCTCTGCGCTTTGCTCCTCGAATGTGGCTTGGAGCCAGAGGTGAAAGAGAGAAGGGGAAGGAGAAAGAAAGAAAGAAAGTTGGTGAATGATAAAGACCGTATTTTCCACGCTTTGGGTGCAGGACCAGATGATCTAGAAAATGAGCTGAAATAGATTCAGCCTCAGAGTCTGATGTGAAGAGCAGCTGACTCCCCTGTTTCTGGCCAGATGGCTTCTGAACACAGATTTGCATTCATTTTCGCTTAATATCGTCCAAAATAGCGGGGCAGCTGCATTTGTTGTCAAAAAGGTTTAAAACTCCCCTTTCTTTCTGGGGCAGGATCGTTACCTTATGTGATGGGGGGCTTATGCAACTTTCACCCCCCTCTCACACACGCATACACCTCCCTCCTTCTCCCCCTCCCCCTTTAGTCAACAGTATCAGATTTAAAAGGATTTGTTTTAAAACCATCTAATTTGGTAATCAGATTTAAATCGCCTTGGCGCGTGTAATCTGAATTAAAGATACTGTAAATGGTTTGAAGCATGGTGCTTTTTGTTAGTGCAGGCAAAAGGAGCAACTTTAACCTTCTTCGGGTATATTTTTATCAGATTGGTCCTGATCAGATATTTGACCCACGGTGGGAAAGTATCTTTTAAAAAAAGAGATAGCCGGGAGAGGCAATAGTATTTTGTCCATAATGACTCCAAGAAGCTTTTATCGTCTATATATACTGCACAAAACACACAGAAAAGGAGACTGAAAAAGAAAACGAGACAGTTATTTTTCTCCCCCCCCCCAACTTGTTTTGTAACTTTAGTTCTCCTTGCAAGTCTAGCTCAGAAGAGGTGTGACATCTTTCCATCTACCCCACGGTACCCACTGATTATTATTATGGAGTCAGGATCCCCCCTTTAATTTATCGTGAATAGTTTCTATACACTTTGATTTAAGGTTATTAACATTCTATAGACAGTGGCATCTTTAATATGTGGCGATCGCTTCTAAAGACTAATCTCATTACCCTCAAATAGTCATAAAATATGATTTTATTATACTTACGTATTTAATTAGACGGCCAGCAATGTAATGGATTTTGAGATCGGGTAGAGCAACAGCTTTGATAATTCACTTATCTTTAGCAATAGTCATTAACCCCCAACACCAGCAAAATAGATTGCTTTCTAACACATATTTCCGCGCACCCCCCTCACCCTTTGAGGAGGGATCGGGGGTCCCTTGGTAACACAAATCGGACT